TCTTCTGTCTCCCAGGATGATTCAGGCAAAAAACCAAAAACCCATTAAGTAGTAGATAAGGTTTAAGGGACTTCTATCTTAGTTGATCTCCACTATAGTAATATTAGTCATAAACTTTGTGCACTTATGTACCTGTTTTTAACCTTAATTGATTTTAGAATGCTATATCTCAGCTAAAGGGCAATACAACCCTAAACTGTTCTTAGAAAAAAAAGATGATTGTAATCTCTCAGCCCAGTTCGTGTGCTGATGTCATCCCACTGCTTGCTCGTAATGTATAAAATAAACCTCTGCTGAAGGCAGAGCAGGAAGACTTGCACCCAACTCTGACTCCCGTGTCTTCCTTGCTCCCCTTTACCCTTTTTTCTCCCTTTCCCCCTTTTTAGGAATCTCCACTCGCCTACGCCTTCCCACCTTAGGGTCCTGCCTGTCTTGCCTCCAGACACCTCAATAGTTGGAGCTGGTCTCCAACAGATGATTTTCTTTCTAACTTATAACACTAATAGAGAAGACCTTATATGAAGAAATATGGCTCATTTAAAAGGAGCACCAATAACTTGCAGATCAGTTGAGTTATTCCCGTAGGGATAAGTGATATTTGCATCTTTGCTTAGTGTGCACCTTTGCAAATCTATGTCTAGGAAGAACTGGAGCAGGGGAAATGGCAAAATGAAAGAAAGTTTATTGGCATGAAAAGGCAGTAGACATTGTTAGGAAATTCTCTCATCTACTCATCACTGTGTAGTATACAATCTAAAACCTGGATCATCAGTGTTTCTTGCTGTGCAAAGTCAGTGAGTTTGCTTAAAGGATCTCTAATGTGCTATGGCTTCTCCATTAGCAGAATAAAATGGTTCCAATGTCTTGATTTCTTTATAATAAGGCAACTTATTACATAAAAGTTTGCTTGTATATAACCTTTCACTAGCAGGAATTTCTTAGGTTTGTGAAGAAGCACTTTAGACTCAATGCTTAGTTCTAAATATTTTCCTAATGGAAGGAGAAATTCCAATTCTTCTAATCACCTAGGATTATAATTAGAGTTTTAGGAAGCCCTGTTAAGCAAAGGCTGTGAAGGATACATTTAGGACAGTAATGGTTGGTGCTTTAGTAATTTTATCTCTAGCTAAGGTACAAACTATACTAGATAAACTCAAAAGTCCACTCCAGATCTGAGATTTCATCCACCACAGACATCATGCTATTAAGTTTTTATCTAAAATGTCTCACACCTTCCAGACACTCTTTGGAATTAGCAACAAACTGCATATGACAGCCCAAACACACAGGTTGCCGTTTCCAACTGCAGACTGAAATTCCAGTTGTAGTAGGTGGCCCAGGGAACTTACTGCTCCCTCTAAGTTTCAGATGCCATAGACAGAGAATATACAATTCCTTCTGTTCCTGATCCATGAATTTTCTGTTAAGAAATTCTCATTTTCTCAGGACCAGGTCTTATCTTCATTTTCCCAGGTCACCAAGAGAGGGCTCCTACCTATATTGCTCCTACCAAAGCGAGCTCAAGCTGATTTGCTAAGATGATTGGCCAAGAGAGAAGTCTGGGGGTTGCATCTGCTTTCAGCTGCCCATGTCTCCCTTTTGAGATGTATGGTCAACATATGAGGATTCTTGATGTAAATACTTGGCTAGCACCTTCTCTCTCCCCTGAAGATATTAAAGCTTCAAAGCTTTAAAGATCTCAAAAAAAAAAAAAAAAGAAAAAAGAAAAACAAGGCAAAGAATGTCCTCTTCAAGATATCTGCCTCTGATCATTTTTTATAGTTAGTAAAAAAATCTCTATTCAGTTCTATATATTGTTTTTTCCCAGGACAAACTCTCGTTTCTTATGTTCCTATCCCAGAGCTCCCCCTTGTGCACCAGTGGGAAACTTATTCAAGAAAGAATTCAAGGTCAGCACATTTAGATTGTGGTGTGTAAGCAGTTACATAAAGCAGTCCTCAAACTTCACCGTGCATCATAACCATAAATTAATGTTTGATTGACGATGATGAAAGATTCAACCACAACCTTTTAAACTAGATTTTTAGAAAGCTAAAACGCAGAACAAGGTTAAGTCCTTCTCAGAAGTAAGTCGAATCTCAAAAATGTGTTTCTTAATGGTCCTCAAATTCTAAGTGCACCAGACTTGCTTTGTGTTTTTAGGAATAGTCCCATGTTCAACACTCAGAGATTCTTTAGGTGTTGTGGAAGGTCCATAAACAGGTTTTAAAGTAGACACTCTAAAGTGTCCTGCTGGAGGTGATCTTGAGAAACCTGGCAAAACTAGTTGTTTATTAAATAGAAAAATTTCTGAAAGTCACAGGAGAAACTTAATTCGTAGTCTATTACAAGGGGAAAAAAAATCGTAAAGCTGTTATGTTTAGCTGAATTAAAACACTGGAACCTGGGCCCTCCCTGGTGGCGCAGCGGATTAAAGCACAGCACTAAGAAGCTAAAAGCCACTTCTGCATGAGTTCAATTCCTGCCTGCCCAGGAGGTAACCACATGGCGTGGAGACCCTCTCCTGACCTGCCCGCTGCTCCCCTCAGCAGTGTACTTCATAGATCTGCCTGTTCTGCTCCCCACTCTGTTTCTGGTGAAGCCTCTCGCCGCCCCTGAGCCTCTAGACTGTACCCCACAGTTCTGTATGCACAAATAATCTTAAAAAAAAAAAAACAAAAAAAAAAACACTGGAACCTATCTTGGGAGAGCTAGTAAGTTGTTTACTAAAAGATAGACATAGTCTTTAATAACATTATCTGCTTCGGTCTGAAATCGGATAAATTTTCTAAAGCCATCCAGGTAGACTCCTTAGAGAGCCAGAGTGGTTTCTAAGTTCAATAAAGAACCACAAAAGTGCTACTATAAATAGAACAAGCATCTGAACCCAGAGTCAGGTGGTGAGATACTGGAAAATGAAGAAATAATTGCTGAACACACCTTCTCACAAAGAAAGTGTGGTTTGCTGCTTTGACTCTAATTTGGACTTGACACAGAATTCCTCCATCGTGTGATGCTCTTGGCATCAATCTCCCTGTTTCTTTCTTTGATTTTTAAAGCTTTTATTATGCTCTCCTTTCATCACATTCTTCTTTTACCTTAAAAAGGTAAAAAGAGGCCCTCCCTGGTGGCGCAGCGGGTTAAAGCGCAGCACTGAGAA